AGGAAAATCTTTGTGGACTGAATGACTTGCTCATTACTGCTTGCTAAATGTAAAGCTGAGCTACTGTTTGAACGCATGCTTCTTGTACCATCATCTGAATAGTTTGCAGCTGAGTCTAGATTCCCTCTATCTGTAATTTTTCTTCCCACCATGGGTCCTGAGTGGACCACAGCAAACACGTTGAGTGACGTGTGTCCCTCAGTAAAAATAGCACAGTAACATTTTGGAGCAATGTTTTAAAAATATTGTTTATTAAATGTTAAAAATAACATTAATTCCAGGTTAATAGGTTTGCTGAGCTCCTCTCACACATCCTTTTGTGTTTTTTAACAAATAATTTAAAGATTATGAGGGCTCACAGACAGAACACTGAAATCACAAACCTGATTTGTAGATTTAATAGCAGTGAATTACCCTATACACAACAAATTTATTACATGTATAGAAAGACAGACCTTACAAATGTCAGGCAGTGGCAAAACAATTATTCTGCTATGAAGTGGATTAATTTTACGACGCGAACTCATTTTACCATGATTACGCATCCGTGATGAAACTGATTCTAAACATTGTTTTTCACACTGAATTTAGACAAATGTGAACACAACATTTGTCAATAGGAAATGACATAGGATATCATGATTTGGTTAAATTTCATCACCTAGTATAAAGGTATATATATTGTCCTAAGTAAGGATCTGGATTATTCCTACCAATATTTAGCACCACATGGAAGGATGGCTACTCATGTTTTCTCTGCCAGGAACTTCTTTCTCATGCGATCAAGCTTTGATTCATCTTTTTCTGCAAGTTTTAGGCCAACATCACATTGAATGAGCATTTCTAACTACTCCATATCTGGCAGGCTGCCAGCTGTACCAGTTGCATGACTGCTTGCATAACTTGTGGGAAAACAGCCCCTTGAAGAGGAAGCCTGCTAATGGGGTGTGTGTGTGTGTGTTTGTGTGTGTGTGTGTTTGTGTGTGTGTGTGTGTGTTTTAAGCAACTGCCCTTCCACTTTAGGCCTTAGTGTAGAAGGGCAAGCAAAAGCATACTTTTATTTGGTGATTTCCAAACTGTGCTAAAGCTCCTTGGCATTTGCTGAATGAGGCAATCGACACGGAAAAGCCTTCTTCAGAGGTTGAGTGCCTGCTGTAGCCAATATTCCCTTCCAAGATTTAGTTATAGTGGAGTGTTGCATGTGCACTGTTGGATCACACAAAGTGACAGGGAGGCCCAAGGGGCCTCGTCAACATCCTGCATGAACTGAATGTGAACTGTAGGACATACTCTGAAACTCACTGGAGTGGAAAGCTTTCTTTAGAATTAGCAAATGTGAAAGGTACTGCTATAAATAAATGAAAATGTTGCTTAAAATTCATTGCTCCAGCCTCTTTGAAATGCATATGCAATTTGGGACTGCTTGGTGCCAATACCTGGCACTGGGTACTTTAGCTGAGCAGGTGCAGTTTTGGTCTCACCACTGATACTAGACATCTGAAAAAATTAGATGGGCTCAGTAGGAATTAGTGAACTCACTGTTTTTTTCTGTGAACACCACTCCCCAAGCAGCTAACCCTGATTCACCCAAATTTGTTAGGGATCCCCACTCACACACAACCTGCCATGTAGGTATTTTTAACCCACAAGTTGGCAACCTCAACAGATGAGATCTGAAAGACAAGCTCCGCAACCAGGAAGGCAGACCACAAATGGATGGAGGGGTGGAGAGTCAGGAAAGTAAGTGCCACCTGGAAGCCTGACCAAACAGCAAAGACTTTGATTTGGTGGTTTGGTCTCAGCCTGCACCTGATTCCAACATGTGCTAACACTCCAAGGTTCTGCTGCCAAGGAGAAGGGGGGGGGGGGGAGAGAGACAAGGAAGGACAGCTTGAAGTCTCAGGTTTTGCTGCCACCAACAGCCTCAAATTCTGTGCTGCATTAACACCGCATAGTGAGCTGCATGCAAGATGGCCAGCCATTGAAACTTTCAGCAGCACTTGGATCTAGCCCATGTTTCATTTGGTCATGCATTTACCAAGGAATGAGCCTTATTAAACTCAATGCTCCTAACGTCCATACAAAATACATACAGCTTTCAGCTGTATCCCTCTCTTGATGAATTCAGTAAGTCTAGAACACTGTTGAGTTTTGGCTGTGAGTTCTCCCAATCATTTAGTGGTTTAGGGTTTTTGTTGTTGTTTTAATGAAAGGGATCCCTCCACCCTCCACTTCATCTGACAGCATACGCATAAATACTCATGCATTGGCTGCCAAGGAGAAGATGTGGTACTTTTGTGATGTGGTACTTTTGCCAGCAGCTCTAAATACTGAAACACGTAATACGTGCACTAGTAGCTAAAATAATAATAAGACATTGTGATTAGCAGAATGACTGTTATGGTGCTGCGTTTTCTATACTGAATGCAAATGTTGACACACAATTATCCTATTCTAGTAGTTTGGGAGAAAAAGTAAAAAACCCTTGTTTCAGCCCTATTTTACTATGCTGAAATCTTCTGTGCTTCATAAATATGATAATGACACAAAATGTCAGGCCAGGCCACTTAGTTTATGCTTGGGACGCAATAATGCTTAATATTTAAATATAAAATATGTTCTTTAAAAAGTGCACAAAGTGCTGCTTATACAAATATGGAAATCTACAATCTATTATCCTTATAATAACCCTCAAAAGTAAGTAGCCAGAGACACAAATGCAAAGGTAGCATTTAATGGATTGAGACCTTCATACCCCAAGTCATTTCCTTACCAATTCCCATCACCATCTGCAAGACTGCAGGGGTCCACAGAGACTCTAGAATTCCAACACCAAACTTGAGTTATTTTCCATGATTGCAGCACTACTGCTTAAGAAAGATTCTGGCAGCCAGAAAAATGAGGACAGTATAGAGGTGCAGCTTTGGTATATGCTAGGCAACTGTACACCACTCAGATTTATTAGTGCTTATTGGCCTTTGAAACAGAGTAGTTGTTTCTAACTGATCAATTTAGGAGGGGGCATTCCCCAGGGACTAGAGGCTTGGTTGTACTCGGGTAACCTTTTCATTCCACCCCTTCAAATGGAGAAGAAATACCATAGATACTGCATATGGAAAAGTAGTGTTAAGCTTTAGGGTGTATATAACGTCACATTGCTCTTGGCAAATTGGCATTTCTGAGTAGAAATTAGCTTCTGATTTGAACTTGTAGAGTGAATAATTTATCTTGTCAAAGAAAATGAGGTTGATTTATTTAAGAAAATGAGGTTGATTTATTTAAGAATGAAAAGTACGCATTCCCTGACAACTGCCCCCTTCTTCCTCTCATATACAATGCTGAATAGGAAGTGTGTTTACAATATATCATAGGAATTCTGTCTGTAAAACGTGTGTGTGCTCTTTACAAAGGGCTGCCCATAGGCTGCAATAGAAACTTCAACAGGTCTAGAATAGGATGGCCAGATTACTGTGTGGAATAAACAGATACCACTATACCTCCCCCATTCTGGACACCTTACATTGGATAGCTTTTTGTTTCTGTGCCAGTTTCAAGGTGTTGACACTGACATACAATGTCCTAAATGCTTTGGGACCTTGATATTTGGAAGAATGCTTTCTTCCAAAGAGATCTGCTTAACGGCCTTAAACTATTTGATCATCCCTGACTGGACAGTTGAGGGAGGTCTGGAGGGAGAGGATCAGGAACTGGGCCTTCTTCACAGTTGCTCCATATCTTTGGAACAAACTCCTGCCCATAATTTGCCTGGCATCTTCACTAGGGATCTTCAAGAGAGCTCTTAAAACATGGCTGTTTAGATAGCCATTTCAAGACATTATATCAACAAAGCACAAAGGTTCCTTCCACATTTAAGTTATCAATTCTGCCATCTTATTTTTATTGACTGTCTTTATTGTTTTTAAACTATCATTCTTTTTCGTTTAATTGACTGGTATATCTATTTGATTTTTTGTATTGTTAGTATGGCTCTCTGGTTATTATTCAATGTGTCTATAACAACAATAGCTAGCCAGGCAAACAGATATTGTAATGAAGTGCTTAAAATGGGAGGAAGAAGGGGCAGTTGTCAGGGAATGAATACTTGCCATTCTTAAATAAATCAACCTCTTTTTCTTTGGGAAGATAATTTATTCACTTTACAAGTTCAAATCAGCAGCTAATTTCTACTCAGAAATGCCAATTTGCCAAGAGCAATGTGATGTTATATACACCCTAAAGCTTAACTCTACTAGTAGCAAGCAGATTCACAGCATTTTCAGAGCTGTTTTTATGCCATCAGAGATATCCATCAAGAAAATATCGTTGATCACCAGAGCCAATCTTGGAGCATGGAAGGGAAGGGACCGATGAGGCACAAGATAGCGAGAGCAGATCAGATCACATGAAACAGTTGGAAAGCAACAGCATCCGTGGAATAAAAGGTGCAAAGCAGCACTGAAACAAGGTGCATGCTCAGTAAGTTCAACAATGTTGTCTATGGCTTTGCCAAATGTATAAATTTTGAAGTGAATATTCAAATGGAAGAACACCTAGTGCAGCTGTACTGAAAACTAATGTAACTCAGAACAACTTCTGAAAAATCTTTCTTTTTCCCCCGTTGCAAAAAACTCTGATCTAATGGAATATAAGCATTCCAGGAATGGGAACTAGCACTTTTGTCTCTCAACAAAATACAATTTTCAGGGTTCACTGGAAGATGAAATAACCAGAACTTCAGTTTAAGCCCTTATCCCATCGGTCTTCTGTGAATTTCATTTTGTTCGTTTCAGCTTCATTCTTGGTGAGGCAGACCCCTAAACAAACCATAAGGACAACAAAATATTCTACCCCCCACTTAGTCACAATTCAGCAGTAGAATGTCTTTAAAAATACACCTCCAGTTAAGTCTGTCTGTCATTTCTTCTTGCATTGTGTCCCATGACAATTGTAATGCTTCATTTGTGGCATACAAAGAAAAAAGACTGGCAGTGAGGAGAATGTTAGGTTACTCTTTATACAGAAATATGGCAGCTTTGGTAATACACAGCCCTTCACTGGAGAAGTGGGCGCAGGGACAATGTTCCAAAATCACTTGTGTCCTAATTTTAACTTATGGCTTTGATATTCATACTGGTGGATACAGAGAGGGAAGACAGTGATTTGTCAAAGCATTACTAAAAATATGCAATTATTGTGATGTGCCTCAAATACTCATTGAATTCTGTAGCAACTGAAAGATACCCTGCAACTGTCAACCCAAACATCCACAGTTGTTGCTTGAGGAGACGAAGGTCCTTCCATGAATAGGTAGTCAATAGCTTGGTAGAGATTTCAATGCCTGAGTGAGCTGGAAGCTCTGAAGTAGTTAAGGAACTTATAGCAGAGGTTCACCACAAAGTACCACACGTTTTGAGCCATTTGTGACCTTGCAATGAACACACGCCAGATGATCACAAGAAAAATCGTATTGAGTGCATATTGAATATTCCTTAGCCTAGTAAGAAAGAGAGAAAAAAAGTCTAGATAAGCCATCCATTTGGTGACAGATCTCACAAAAAATGCACAAAACAGATCAACAACACTCTCCAGTGGCAAACAGCTCGTAGCTCCACTTTATATTTTGTACTTGATTCTTATGTTATGGTCCTGGTGTGGTGATTGCTACCTACAGGAGTCCCATAATGCGATGGAATGCTGAGAATGACCTGGGAAGAGTTATACGAGAATCATACAGCAGATTCCATTGATTGCTAAACTCAAAAGCAGGGTGAGAGGGAATCAGAAGAAAAAGTGACCACACCTCTCCTATTATAAAAGATCCTTACTGCTTTAGCTGGCCTCATTCGGAGTGGCTCACATACAGCCCTCAGTCTAGCTTTGATGACACCAAGGGCCCTATGCTACCACTAAAATTTGCATTACAGCAGCGAGTAAATGATGTTTTCACTGTGAAGGAGCAATTTTTGTTGAAAACAAGGTGTTCCTTATACATCCTGTTTACAAGAGACCCATGTTCCCAAAGGTGTTCCAACAGTGTTAATCCATGTGTAAACAAAGTGTGTGGGGAGAGAGTGCCTTGTTTTAAGGGGGGGAACCTAATTTACAATGGAAACACTAGAAATGCCCCCCTTAGAATTAATACTATCTGTTCTGATGCTGTAAATTTTAAAAATCAGTATTTCTTATTGTGATTTGACTAGCTGATAGAGTTTTCTGTAAGCAATATTTGAAAGATCTGCATCCAGAAAGACAGGAAGCAAATAACTGTAGTAGATAAATAATGGCAGAGAAGTTTTTGCCTGAAAGAGGATGTGTTTACCATTGCTGATCTCAACTGAAAAAAACAACAGACATATATGTAGGTATTATTTGGTAAACAAGCTGATAAATAAAGGCTTTACTGAAGGTAAAGGTAAAGGTTCCCCTTGACAATTTTTGTCCAGTCGTGTTCGACTCTAGGGGGCAGTGCTCATCCCCGTTTCCAAGCCATAGAGCCAGCGTTTGTCCACAGACAATCTTCCATGGTCACATGGCCAGTGCGACTTAGACACGGAACGCTGTTACCTTCCCACCGAGGTGGTCCCTATTTATCTACTTGCATTTGCATGCTTTCAAACCGCTAGTTTGGCAGGAGCTGGGACGAGCGACGGGCGCTCACTCCGTCGCATGGATTCGATCTTCCGACTGCTTGGTTTTCTTACCCTGCAGCACAGGCTTCTGCGGTTTAGCCCGCAGCGCCACCACGTCCCATCTGAAGAGAGAGGTCTAATTTTTTTTAACTAATCTCAATGCTGGGTCCTCGGATTTTGCTGAACTACAGCCTACAGAATCCCTGACTTCTGACCATGCTAGCTGAAGCTTCCAGGAAATGAAGTTCAATGAAGTTCAACTGAATTAGACTGTTGTTTGCAACTCATGTCTTTTTTCACTCATTTGCTGAAATCCTGTTGAGTGAACTCTGCCTGGGCAATGGGAATGACGGTGTTGTCAGATTGCTTCTGATTAAAGATTTCCTTTTTCAGTTTCAGGGTACATCTGACTTAATCTTATCACTGTTTGCACTATGTACATATTTTATATATTGCACCAGTCATAGACTAGGCAAGATAAAACAGTTACAATCAATCAGGTTATTATAAAATAACAGTAAAAACAGTTAAGACTAGGGAGAGAGACATAATAAATCATACTCTGATTTCTCTTCAGATCATGTGCACTACAAGACTGGAAAAGGAACACTTTAATCGATAGCAATCTGCTACTGATTATGACGTCACTCCTGTTGGACAAGCCGAGCTGTGCAACGTGATTCTTCTTCTGGTCACTGAGAATGTTCTCTTCACAGACAAGTTTATGTATGCCTTACTTTCTTAAGTGCTGCTTTGCGGCAGGAATTCCAGCCATATCTTCATTCAGCAGGTATTTCTTAGTTCCAACGCAGTAATTTTCAATGTATTCTGACCAATGCAGTTGACGGACATCAAAGCAGAATAACTGAAATGGGGGGGGGAGGGAGAAGAAAAAACAGGAGGAATTATGGAACTACCCATTCCTGAAATTAAATGCACCTTCGTATCAAACAAGGCCACAAAATACAGGAAAATGGTCTGATGTTGCTGCACAATATTGTGCCCACATTGCCAGCAGGAAATCAGATTTCCATATATCATTATCTAGAAATACCATACCTCCAACATGACAGATTGTGCCAACTAGCTGAATCTGTGGGAAAGAAATTGTGATGAAGCGTCTCCACTTTAGCAGCAGACACTCTCATCGTGCAACACACTTCCATGATATAGATAATATATAGTGCAGAGGCATGCTTTCATGCAGAAACTATACACCAGTCCACATCAAACGGTCCGCACAAGACCACAGAACTCACCTGCTCTCAAACATGCTGCAAATGCCACATCTATTATTATTTACATTTCTAGTCTGCCCATCCTCCAACCCATGCAATGATTCTAGTAAATTCCTGAAGCCTCTGAACTCAGCCTGGCCTGACAATTCTGGCACTTCACAGGATATGGCAAGCTACTCATATTATTCAGTGATAATAGACTCTATCAGAAAATACTTACTTTCTTGTCTTTGGGACTGAGCTGGCTCATTAACATACTCATATTGTCTGAATTCCATTCCCAGGTACGGCTGGTGAAGTATTCAAAGAATGCCATGGTTTTGTGCAGGCGATGGAAGAGCTTCATCATCCTGAAAGTCAGAACAGAAAGATCTGAAACAGGTACAACTCCTGTGCTGCAGGGATGTTTCTAACAAAGAGGTAAGCATAAGATGGGCGTTGTGGGCTTTTCCATCTCTTTGGCCGTGTTCTGAAGGTTGTTCTTCCTAACGTTTCGACAGTCTCTGTGGCCGGCATCTTCAGAGGACAGCACTCTGTGCTCACGAGCCTTCGCAAATACATAAGATGGGCCTTTAGACAAACCAACCATCCAACCAAACAGGCAGTTTACAATGTTTGATCAATGCAAAAATTCAAATTAGAAAAAAAAAAACCTGTATTATATTAGTTGATATAAAAATGTGTGGATAACCATATGAAAAGAAGCCTGTCCAGTTCACTTTCCCAGCAATACTTACCACTGATTCTACAGTCATTTCATATAAAACATTTCCACATATTTCTAGTTTGAACACAAAAATCCTTTTCCTGACAAGTCATGTGAAAGTGTCGACGTCATGGCAGGGGCAGCAATGCTAAAGATATCCAGTGTGGCATTCTTAATGGGGACCTTACTGAGATAAAGTAAAGTATCATCACAACTCCAAATGATTACATTTGAGCTTTGAAAAGAGAGGAGTTATCTTCACCACTCTAAAGAGAACTGGCCATATATTGACCTCCAAAAAGTACTTAAGAATGATGAGTTCTCAACTCCTCCAAGAACCCTCTTTAGTTCAGATGGAAACAAATCCTTTACACTATTCAAAGGAAATCTGTGTCCTAAAGATTTTCCCCGCACCCCCTGATCACGTAGGTAGCTCTCATGCTTAGGGATATTCAGGCAAAACATACGAAGCCATGGTGTATGAGTCAGCTTGCTGGTTTTCTACAGACACTGGTAGCAAGCCCTTCAAGTTTCCAGGCTAGAGCTTCTTTCAGCAGTACTTGGCCCGGAGGTTTTTCTGCATGCAAAGTATGTGCCCTGCAACTGAGCTATGCCCTTTCCTCTATAGTATATGCACAAACTAGACATTTCTTCCTAACGAAACTAAGGGAAAATTGATTCACTGCCAGAATCTCTCTCTCTCACACATACATACACAAACAGCAGCAGCAGCAGAGAGAAAAATAGTGTGAGTGCAGGAAAGAACACAGACAAAACTGGCTACCTCAGGATGAGTGCTGTGTTTTTTTCACTGCATTAAAATCCCTGCTGATGTATTTGAGAAAGAGGGAGGGAGGAAGAAAGGATTTCAAAAAGAACTTGGAATCACATCATCATCCCACAAAGAATGAATATCTGAAACACTTCTAGCCGCTACATAACAGGCTGCTTGCCTGTAACTGTGGTTCTTTGAATAGTCATCTGTGAATTCACACATCAGTCTCGTGCTCGCATAGAGCCAGCTTTGAAACCTTTTAGCACTGAGTAGATTTTAGTGGGAACCCCATCACCCCAATGAACTGCACATATGCAATCTTCACTCTACCCTCCGCCTGCAGTTTCCATTCTGCTAAGAAAGTGAAGGGGTATGTTGAGGGGAGATAGGTAGGATATGGGAGTTTACAGATATCAATGGGATTTTGGCAGCCCATGAATGGATATAGCTGGATGATTAGAGGACTGAATATATCTGCAAAGTATATTCAAAGGGCAGTAAGCCCTGATTTTTAAGGTGGAGTGGGAAACGTAGGACTTGTGAGTAAGACGTTGGGGGATGCAGCAATTCTGGACCCTGTAGGAGCTGTTTGTGAAAGCCTCGCTGTCAGTCCCCAAACTGGTATTGAAACAGGAGTTGTAGTTAGTTTCAAAGGCAATCTGGAAGCTGGCAAGCCAGTTCAACAAATATGTGAACAGTCCTAAGGTAGAAACCAGGGGCTGATTCTTAACAAGTCGGTGAACAATTCTGGATAACGGTGTTGATCAAGAGCTCTTGCTTGTTTGGGAACAGTAGGTGGTGGTTGAGAGTCCTGTCTCTGGTGATGATATGCAGAGTTGTGATCCTGTCAGTAACCATGGTAGTTTGGGAGCTCCTAAGGAATTTGTTGCTGACAAGTGTGAGCGTGGTTGTTTCTCTGAGTACCCAAATTATGTCCATAGGACATGAAGGTCCAATATGTGGGAATGGGGCTAGACTGATGGTAATGGCGTTGATAGTGAAGCATTCTATTATCTCTTTAGGAAGGGAACAGAGACTGACAAGGAGTATGAGATTGGGACTGTCAGTGAGTCTCTTTAGGAAGGGAACAGAGACTGACAAGAAGGAATATGAGATTGGGACTGTCAGCAAGCACTGTGAGGTGACTGGGACAGAGGCTAGAGAGATTGTCTGTAAGTACTCTGAAGAGACTGAGAGTGAGAGTGATGGTCAGAGTAGGGAGATCTTGAGAGAGCAGAGGAACCTGGTGAAAGCAAATATTCAAAAAGCAAAATATCTCATCAAATGTGTGTTGGAGAGGTTCAGTATCACAGGCAAGCAAAATTTCCGGCAGGCATGATGTTAATGGGAAGAGAATGTTAACACCTGCTCTGTAACACAGGGCAAGACCCAAGCCAGTGCTCCGGTTGCAGCTGGTAATGACTAGTATTGCCATCGCAGTCAGTAAGAGAACTGAAGCTGGCAAAAGGGGCAAAGTTGGTAAAAGTACAAAAATTTCTGGACCAAGTAAGAGCTTAAGTGTCTTGTATTTCTTCTTGGGAAGATGCATGGTGTTGAAGGCCACACTTCCTTGCTACCGATGGATATTCTTGTCCTTTTCCTTATGAAGACCAGTCAGAAGGGATGTAGATGACACTATAGCTGTAAATGGCATTTTGGCACTCAATATGGAAGAGCTCAGTACCAACACAATCAAGCCCTAGGCTGGAACTGAAGTGAGATGAATATAAGACACCAACAGAGTTGACCCTACTTGATTAGTAATGGAGACTAAAGAGGTCAGAGGCACTGAAGATACAGCTGGCCTCTTATAAATCAGCAGAAAAGTGGTGGGCATTCCTTTGTTCTTGGCCATTAGCTCTGCTACCAGGATAAAAGGTGGATTTTAGACAGCTAAGTTTTCAAGCCTTGATTAGAAAAGCCTCTGCAGAATTTACAGGAGTGGATAAGATGGGTCTCTCCTAGGCAGAAAAGACTTTTGAATTTTTGGTCATCTGGAACAAGCTTGACTCCATATGACATGTTCCTCCTTGAACGGGACTTAGAAGACATAAACTGAAATGCAACATCCTAGCACAGTAGGATGAAGACTAGGAACAGATGATGAAGAATGAGGCAGGTAACAAGATGACAACAAAGGGAAAGATTATTTCTCTTTTTTAAATGTAGGACAAAAGAAAAAAAACTACTCAGTCTTTGAACTATTAGGAGCAACTCCTTTTGTGGTGGAAAAGAAGGACCCGAAGGAGGTCATTAGAGTGAGGCTACATACGTGCAGTAGGTACAGGAAGCAGAGCTGCTACCAAAAACTACTCACTGGAAGAAGTTGGCTCTGTTTGGGCATGAAACCCAAACGTGTGAGTCAAAGAAACCATAAAGAAGAGCAGTACAATAACAAAAGGATCAAAAAGAACCCATATGAAACTCACATCCTCTCCCAAAACACAGCAAATGGAGAAGTCCTTGGAAAATGTACCACAGGATAAGAAGTGGACTAATCGGTTACTCAGCTCTACTCCTTTCATCACTCTGCATACTTCCACAGAAACAAAACCCAAAAAGACCCACCCTTTTGTCCTGTCTTTCCATCTAAACCCTGAATAAGGCTTTATTTGGGATCCAGTTTTGGTTCAGGTTGTTTGGTTCACCTGAAGGAAAACCCACACCAGTCCATGTAAGCCCAATTTGATTTGAGGCTTAGGCTTCAATCTGAATCTAACACACATCCCTCTGAGCCATTATCTGAAACTTTGAGCATATTTATGTTTAAGTCCTGCTAAAATCCAATGGGACTTCAGCACATGTTACTGTGAACCACAATGGAGTCAAAGAAGTTAATTGTGTTCAAATACAGGGCACCTTAAGATTTCTTCTGTGTTTTAAAAACAGTCTTCACTCTAATCAATATTATCCATTTGTTTTAAATATTTGTGATTAATAAAATGTTACTCTTCCAAGAGCACATCTAGTCATAAATTTGTATAACCTGGTAGAATCTTTTGTTGTTACAAAGCCTGTAGTGCCCATATACTCTAATAACACTGTATTCATCAAAGCAATTATCTCCCTCTCTCTTCCTCAGTAAGATGCTTCAGTGCCAAATTTGGTAATGGCAGTAAAGAAGGAAAGTCACAACAAGCCTGATTTGCTTATGTACATAGCAGGTTGCTCCCAGTGCTTCCATCACAGAAGCATAGTTAGTGATGCCTTCTCTCACCTTGGCTTTCTTCCGGTTAACCGCAGATACAAATCATAGAGAAAGGCTGGGAACTTGTGACTGACAGTTGTCCAATACTGATGCATCAAATAGTTTGAGGTCATGTTGGCATTAGGTATTCTGAAGGCTTTCTCCAAGGGATTCCTCTTGTATGTAGATATGACATGATACTCTGCATGAGAAAGAAGAGCAGATATTTTCATCAGAAGACTAACTGTGCTAATCCCATGCTTTCAGAAGCATATAATTATGGCAGAATTCAGCATTGCCAGTTGTGAAAAGAATGAAATTTATTTCATTTATTGCACTCTATCAGAAATCCAACTGGATTTAAAAACATTTAGAAGAATTGCTTTTTAGATAAGCATTTCAGGATATCCTCTATCTATAATTGCTGTAAGGTATATGTTGGGTTTTTCTGCATTGTTGTCTTGGGTTTGGTAGAGGTTGTTTTTTGTATTTCCATGGTTTGGATGGGATGGGTGGGTTCTCATTTTTTATGTCCTACTATGCTGGAAACTGCGCAGAGTGATGGCATGCCACTAGACAGCATGGTATACAAATGTAAGAAAGAAAGAAAGAAAGAAAGAAAGAAAGAAAGAAAGAAAGAAAGAAAGAAAGAAAGAAAGAAAGAAAGAAAGAAAGAAAGAAAGAAAGAAAGAAAGAAAGAAAGAAAGAAAGAAAGAGTATAACACTAAAAACTGAGATGCATTTATTCAAAAGAATTTAAAGAGATCTGATATTAACAAAAATGAAAGAAAGAAAGAAAGAAAGAAAGTATAACGCTAAAAACTGATATTAACAAAATTAAATACTGCTTCATCGAATCTCTAATTGTCTCAGTATCTTCTCGTACCCGCTGTCATGCAATCAGATAGAAAAGAGAACCTCAGGGGTTGGCAAGGATAAATCGTCCCAAACCAATCGCTGTGCCTCCTGTGAAGCATACATCATGAGAAGGCAGAAAACATGCCCATAGGCCCCACAGCCCATGGTTTCACTCCCTCCAGAATATGTGCAGATTTGACAGCTCCAAGACACTGCTTGTCGCTTCTATGTATCACATTGTAAGTCTATGTCTAAGCCCAAAAAGGGCAAATGCTATTTAAGGTTGCATTAACAGAAGTATTGTCTTCAAACTCTGTGAGGTTCCCCTCTATTTGGCACTGGTTCGGCTTCATCTTGAGTACTGTTCTGGACACCACACATTGAGGAGGATTCAGACAAACTGCAACAGGTTCAGAGGAGGGCAACAAGGATGATCAGGGGACTGGAAATCAAGCCCAATGAGAAAAGACTGAAAGAATTGAGCATGTTTGGAGAGAAAAGACTGAAAGAACTGGGCATGTTTGGACTTGAGAAAAGAAGAGAGGGGTGATATAAAAGCACTCTTTAAATACAGTACTGTACTTGAAAAACTGCTATACAGAGAAGGGGCAGGATCTGTTCTTGATCATCCCAGAGTGCAGGACATGTAATAATGGGCTCAAGTTACAGGAGGCCAGATTTTGGTTGAATATCAGGAAAAATGTTGTAATCGTTAGAGCAGCAAGACAATGGAACCAATTATCTTGGGAGGCTGTGAGTGCTTCAATGCTAGATGCATTCAAGAGAAAATTAGATAACCATCTGTCAGATATATTTTAGATTCCTACATTGAGCAGCAATTTGGACTTAATTGCCTTATAGGACCCTTCCAACCTCATTATTTTATTTTGAGACATGCAAATCTGAGCACTTTTGCTAGCACACTAATAAAGTTAACATAATGCCAAGTGAGCCTGCACAAACATTATATTATCATATATTCATTTCATGCTGCCTCATCCCTGCATGAAAATAGAAGATACTGAAATGGAAGAGAAGTCTGATGCTCTGAATGGACGAGGTGAGTTTTCACAGTTTTAAGGGTGGAACTCACCAGGTTTCTCCCCCTGTCTGAAACTATATTTTCCCTCGGGTCAGCAGAACAGTAAGAACTTACCCATCTCTCCCCAACAAAATGGGTTCAAGCCACCCGTCGTACAATTATATATCAACATTGATTTTGGTCTGAAAAATAAGCAAGGAGAGGAAGAAACCATTTAAAGTTTCCTTCAATGTTCAGAAATGCTCACTGCATCCATCATCATAGGAATGCGATCTTACACAGTATTCTTTTAAAGAAATGCAATATTTTCATGAAGTATTTCCATAAATATAATTACAAAGCATGCCCAGATAAAAGGGAAAATTGTTTATTTTCCAAGTGTGTTGGTATTATGGCACATTAAATATAATTGGCAGCCAAAGGTTTTCATCAGCTTTACTTACTTGATAAACTACATTCTAGGCTATTCAGTCAATGATATTGCAAAACTAGCAGCTAAGGCCATAATCAACTTACTTGTTCCAACCAGAGTAGTGGTTCCCAGAAATCCTGGCCAGCATAGCTAGCAGTGAAGGTTTCTGGGGAGCTGTAGTCTAAGAACATCTGGGGACCCAAGATTGGGAACCACTGAACTAGAGTAAACCTACCGAACCTACAAAAGCTTTATCGGCCAATTTACCATTCAACAGCTGATTTAATCAATCTACTTTAGTTCAGCAACATGTTCTTTAATACGAAGCTTCAACAAAGAGTTTCCTGGAGACACCCAAGATTGAAGCATTGGCATCAGCTCGATTTGATCCTCACTAGACGTTCTAGCCTTCCTAGTATTACGATCCAACGTAGTTACCAGAGTGCTGATTGCGATACTGACCACTCCCTGGTGTGTAGTAGAGTAAAACTGCAAGCAAAGAGATTGTATTGACATCAGCAAGACTTGCGGTCAAAGAAAAGTGGAGGAATTTGCCCAAGCACTGTACTAGTGAGTACAATTTGCAGGCTCTCTGACTTGCTCATAGCAAAGTCCAACAGGCTGCCAGACATTCCAACGATTATTGGCTTCAGCTCGGCTCTCAGATACAGATAGCAGCGGACAAAGGTAACATCAAGGGAATGTATGATGGTATCAAGCAGACTTTAGGTCCAATACAGAAGAAATATGCTCCCTTGAAGTCTGCTTGATCATCCAGGACCGGGCACAGCAGATGGAACGCTGGGTGTGACACTACTCTTGAGCTATATTCTAGAGGGAACACAGTAACCAAAGAGGCATTAAATAACATTGAGTGCCTTCCTGTCTTGGAAGAGTAGGATAGCGAACCCTGGAAGAGTTGGATAGCGAACCAACTTTAGCAGAAATAAAACTGGCCTTGGATTCCCAAGGCACTTGGGAAGGATAACATCCCTCTTGAAGTGCTGAAGTGCTGCAAAGAGACCATCACCACTGAACTTTATGAAATCTTTCATCTTTGCTGGAGCGAAGGTAGAGTACCACAGGACATGAAGGATGCAAATATTGTCACATTGTATAAGAACAAAGGAGACGGGGTGACTGCAATAACTACCGTGGCATTTCTCTTCCCAGCGTTGTAGGGAAGCTGCTTGCCTGTGTTGTGCTGAAGACACTCCAGGTGCTTGCAGACAGAGTCTATCCAGAATCACAGTGTGGATTTTGAGCTAATAGATCCACCACTGACATGGTATTCTCCCTCCAACAATTGCAGGAGAAATGTAGGGAACAACAACAGCCACTCTTTGTGGCCTTCATAGATCTCACAAAGGCCTTTGATTTGGTTAGTAGGTATGGCCTTTTTAAAATCCTTCCCAAGATTGGATATCTACCTTGACTCCTTAACATAATCAGGTCTTTTCATGAGGAAATGAAGGGCACTGTAGGTTTTGATGGCTCAACATCAGATCCCTTTGACATCCGAAGCGGAGTGAAACAGGGCTGTGTCCTTGCGCTGACCCTGTGTGGGATCTTTTTTGCTGTCATGCTGAAGCATTCCTTTGGAACTGCAACAGAAGGTGTCTATCTCCGGACTAGATCAGTTGGAAAGCTCTTTAATCTCTCTAGAATGAGAGCGAAGACCAAAGTCCAGCTGGAATGCATGCAAGACTTCCTCTTCGCCGATGATGCAGCTGTTTTTGCCCACTCTGCTGAAGACCTCCAACAACTCGTGAATCGTTTTAGTAAGGCCTGCCAAGACTTTGTATTAACAATCAGCCTGAAGAAAACACAAGTCATGGGCCAGGGCGTGGACTCACCTCCCTCTATTACCATCTCCATACAAGAATTGGAAGTTGTTCATGACTTTGTGTACCTCGGCTCAATGATCTCTGACATTCTCTCCCTAGATGTCTAGCTGGATAAATGCATTGGCAAAGCAGCTACCATGTTCTCTAGACTCACAAAGAGAGCATGGCTTAATAAGAAGTTGAAGGCATATACCACACTCCTGTACTGCAGTGAATCCTGGACCCTTCATGCATGGCAGGAGAGGAGCTGAACATGTTCCATATACATTGCCTCTGACGCATTTTTGGTATCACCTGGCAGGACAAAGTTCCAAACAGAGTAGTCCTAGAACGAGCTGGAATTTTTAGCATGTATACATTACAGAAACAGCGATGTCTATATTGGCTTGGGCATGTCGTGAGAATGGCTGATGGTCAGATTCCAAAAGATCTCCTGTATGGAGAATTAGTGCAGGGAAATCGCTACAGAGGGAGACCACAGCTGCGATACAAGTATATCTGCAAGCGGGATCTGAAGGCCTTAGGAATGGACCTCAAGCGATGGAAAACCTTGACATCTGAGCGTTCAGCATGGAGGCAGGCATCATGGTCTCTCTCATTTTGGAGAGACCCTTGTCCAGCAGGTGGAGGCAAAGAGGCAGCCCTGAAACCAGCAAAATCAGGGAGATGGACAGGGGACAGATTGGATTTGTCCTCAGTGTGGAAGAGATTGTCACTCTCGAATTGGCCTTCTCAGCCACACTAGATGCTGTTCCACGTCTTCCATACAGAGCACATTATCATAGTCTCTCGAGACTGAAGGATGCCTAATCAGCCACAACTAGCAAGTGGGTTTAGACACAAGTGTTCAGATACATCTCTTACGCTGTAATGTCTAGGATAATAACTCTAACATTCTCTGTATTCCAGTCAATCTTTCCCCACATGTCTCTCAGCAAACTATGGAATAATGTGATGCTAAAATAGTGGTAAGCCCCTTCAGTATGTTTTCTGAAAGGAAGGGGAAGCTAAGTACCAATCTACCATTTTGGGGAGCAGCCACGAATGTAATCTATCACCTAGTTCATTTTACAGCCCTCTTAGCAGTCAAAGGATGTAATAATTAACCCGTTGATCCACTCTCCATATACTTGAGTTTCTAAGGAATAGTTGGGCAATATCATGCAAATGAAAGGTCTTTCTGCCCACTCTCTGATTACAGATCTAAGTCACATCCAATAGAAGTTCCACTCTGGATTTTTTTTCCTCTTCAATTTTGAGTCACCTAAATCTAAATTATATTCAGGAAGTCATTTAATTGCCTTTTCAGGGTCAGAAGATTTAAAACAGAGGCTACTCAATGACATAACATCTTGTAAACAATCTCTGCCAATTTTTTTTACAAGGCCTGAAAGATACCTGAGGGGTGGCAAGGCATTCTTGTTTGAGCCACAGTGAACAGCACAGCTAACAGAACGGAACAGAGTACAAGACATCCACAGAAGGGAATGTCTGCTGTATGTGATTCACTGCTCTGATCTGGCCACTTTTCAGTCTGTCTCCACTGGGCATGCCTAATGCATCCATGACTGTCCACTGTCTCTCTTCATGTGTCATGGCTCTAGGCTTCCTTCCTTCCTTCCAAGGAAACAGCACATCCCAACCCATGCAGAGAACATAAAAGATCAACTCCAATGAGGGCAGGCAATTCTGAGTCTCAGGAAACCCCGTGTAGGAGGGAAGTATGCCTCTAACTGTATTTTAGAAAGGGGAGTGATCAAAATTTGGGAAACCCTTCCCCACATCCTGGAACACGTTGCAACATTTTTAGCTTTTGTCTATCTGAGTTTGAAAATGAGGTCTCTTGAAGTACAAAAAACTGTCCCAGTTTAACAAAGTATTCTTGATAAGAAAGTACAGAAAACAACGTGCAGTCGTACCTGTGAACTGCAGTGTACCATCCAGCAGCAAGGCTTAAATTGATAGCCACATCTACAGGAACAATATCTGCTACTGCCTCTGTGTTGCATTTTACTGTTCGTATAATCCCTTTTCCAGCCTGCCGGAGACAGGGGGTGGGGGAAAACTAGTCAGTCTATTCAATGGCAAAATTTCATTCTCTAACAAAAATACAGCCTAAGTATGATTTATTTTATTTGGTTTATTTTTATTTTTCCCATCTTATAGAATCATTTAATTAATTAATTGTTATAAAATTTTTAAGAACTTGTTATCCTTATGTTGTAAGCCGCCTAGAGCGGTCGAAATGACTAGATAGGCGGGGTATAAATACAATAAATAAATAGATAAAAATGATCTTCAGAGTCCCCTGGACTGCAAGGAGAACAAACCTATCAATTCTAAAGGAAATCAACCCTGAGTGCTCACTGGAAGGACAGATCCTGAAGCTGAGGCTCCTATACTTTGGCCATCTCATGAGAAGAGAAGACTCCCTGGCAAAGACCTTGATGTTAGGAAAGTGTGAAGGCAAGAGGAGAAGGGGACGACCGAGGATGAGATGGTTGGACAGTGTCATCAAAGCGACCAACATGAATTTGACCCAACCTCGGGAAGCAGTGGAAGATAGGAGGGCCTGGCGTGCTCTAGTCCAAGGGGTCACGAAGAGTTGGACACGACTGAACGACTAAATGATGACGATGATATATTAATTTATTACATTTATAACCTGCCCATCTAGACCAAAATCTACTCTGGGCGGCTAACAATAAAAGATAAAATAAAACCAATACAATAAAAACATTTTTTTAAAAAAACAGTAATAGTATAGTTCAAGGTGGGAAAAATAATCAGGTGATGACTGGAGGGAAAGCCTGCCTAAAGAGCCAGGTCTTAAGTTTGCTCTTAAAAACACCCAGCAAGGGAGCCAGACATATCTCTGGGGGCAGACTGTTCCAAAGGCAAGAGGCCACTGCTGAGAAGGCCTGGTTTCTTGTTCTTTCTCTCCGGGCCTCCCTCGGCGTTAGGCCCTTCAGACACCCTTCCTGCTAGAACGAGTGATTCAGGTAGATCTAGGTGGGAGGAGGCGTTCCACTAGATATCGAGGTTGTAACATATACCAATACAGTAAGCAATTACAGTAGCTAAAATCAGTAAGAAATGTCATCTCCTGGTGAAAATGGATTACAGTGGCACCTTGCTAGACAACTGCCTTGCAGGATGAAAAACCTGCAAGACGATCATTTTTTGCGATCACTATGGTGCCTTGCAAGATGTTTTTTTTTCTATGACCGTGCTTTGCAGGACTTTTTTTTAGACCGATGCTTCACAAGACTTTTTTTTTTTAGACCGATGCTTCACAAGACTTTTTTTTTTTAGACTGATGCATAGGGAACCTCACAAGACGATTTTTTTCACAAGACGATGATTTTCGTGAAACGAATTAAAATCATCTTGTGAGGCACCAATGTACTTTACAAACTAACATATTAGTTTGAAAGTGGGAGCCTTTGCCATCAATAAAGGCTCGCTAAAATCTGGAAGCCTGAAAAATCGATGTTTCTGATTGCATGGACAGTATAGACCTCTGGACGATGCTCTCCTCTTCAGTCTACTGCTCTGCCAGCAAAGAAAGTGATAATAGGGAGGCAGGGCTATCCTGTAACCTTTTTATTCAGGAGCTCACATTGTCCCTACCCTCAAGCACGAATAGGGCTTAGATTCGATTTTTATCCCAGCAGATTCGACCCTTTCAGCTGCCCAGTGTAGCAGTTTTGCTCCTAGGTTCTGGCCCTGCTTTTTGAGTCTGAGAAAACCAAGTAATTTTACTAGTAACCATACGTACAGCAGTAAGGAGACCACTTGTTCCATTGAAGTTGTCAATCCAACCCTGAAAAAAATACACAATAAAGGAAAATAAATGTGTGAGAGGCAGTTGGATTAGACATTGGTCATTCCAGTCAGTACACTATGCAAGCCACCTGCCGGTCTGTAAATCTGGGTTTTAGTATTGGCTTTTGCTGACCAAGAATCCCAAATATACTAAGACAAGCTTGAAAAATATTATACTAAAGCATGCCTAAAAGCAAACAAAATAGAAAGGTTATGTTGAAGTGGCATCCAGGACTGGGTCAAGATATTGTGCTGCTCGAAGTGAGTAACAAATGCCACCCCTTTCCCCTCCATGCAAGTCAAGCTGTGTCTCATGCAAGCTCAATCAAGCTATTTTGGCACCTCAAGCAGAAAACCCTACAAGCTCCCCTTCCTCACCTGTGTGAAAAAAAATACAGTAATAGGAAACTCAATAACTCATGTTGTGACACACACAGACAAAATTTGCTACCTGAGGCAACTTCCCCAGGAAGGGCTAGCCCAGTTTATGTAACACAAAATTTGCCTCTGGAAGTAGTGTACAAATATACATGGGAAGTATGATTACATCCAATTAGTGCAAAGCACACAATACCAACATGGTTGTTCTAATAAAAGTACTGTTTTATATTTGTAAACAATCTTTCTTTTGATACCTATTTTGAAAACTTCAATCTAGAAGTATAGCTAACACTGAATAATGGTTTTTTGTATTGTATGATTTCCTGTTTTACTTGCACAACACAGGAATTCATTTTTAAAAACAGTTTTTTCTAAAAACTTAAAAACTTCAGTCACATTTTTATAGAAGGCAAACATTGAACTAAAGCCCAGAAAAAGAAAATTGATTTTAAAAGGGGTAAAGTGGTTTGTTAGAAGCTTTGAACACCTTCATGTACACATGACATCTACCTTGTGGCGCAGTGGTTAAACTGCTGTACTGCAGCCAAAACTGTGCTCACGACCTGGGGTTCAATCCCAGGTAGCCAGCTCAAGGTTGACTCAGCCTTCTATCCTTCCGAGGCCGGTAAAATGAGTACCCAGCTCGCTTGGGGGAGGGGCAATGTGTAGCCTGCATAATTAACGTGTAAACCGCCCAGAGAGTGCTTGAAGCACGCTTTGCTATATTTGTCATCCGGTGACCCTACCCTGACCAAAAAGGTTTTCAGAACAATACAAAAACATGACAAATCTATTTACTGGGGTGAAAATAGAATGAGTGGACACATTATGATCTGAGATAACAAAAAACTAGTAAATTTATAAATAACACATTTTATTTGGTATAAGTTTCCCTTGACTAAAGTTCATTTCATCAGATCCCTGCAAAGTCTATGAAACTCACTCCACATAAAACATGTTAGTCTCTAACCATCACAGATGGACACTTGTTTTGACACTTCAGAGTTCCATTTTGTTTCAGAGTTCATAGAAAATTAGGCCTGTAATGTAGACATTCTACAGTACTGTCACCTCAACAATTCTAAAGAAAGCCTTCAATTTCAACTCTCTATCACAAGTTGGGTTCCCCCCTCCCCAAGAAAATATTGCAGTAAATATCCCGCTGGGGTACTTTGTAGAGATACACTTGGTGAGGATGCAAGAGAGGACCTTTTCAGGACCTACCCTCAAATTTTAGAATTCCATACCTGGGAAGATTAGGTTAGCCACATCCAAGATGCCTTTCTGACACTACATGAAATTTTTCTTGTCTAATCAGCATTTTGACAGCGAACAAATTGCTAAGGGCAGGATTTTCTGAGGAGGTGCTGCACTTTTCTGTTGTTAAATCATATTTACTTTAACTAAGTAGCTGAGTTTTTAACTTTTTTCTCTTTTTAATATTAAAAACTGAATTAATTATATTTTACTATTTAGAACTTTTTTTAAAACTTGGACTTAAAAAACCACTATACTTGGGTTCCAACTTCTGAGAGAAAGAAAGGGCAGAACTCAAATAAATAAATGAGAAACAAATAAGGTATTAAGACAAAAGTAGTGTTGCATGCCATTTGGCATCAAACCAAACAGAGTAGTAGGAGTGATATAGTCTTGTTGTCAATAGTTGGGTCCCATTTGGGATTAGGGCACTGGAATTCTTAGTGAGGTCAAGAAAAATGAGAAATGCACATAAAACTTTATTTCTAGATATTCTAATAGTTCACCTTCTGTACGAACCCTCAAGGTGAACTTCTCAAAATGGTTAGAATATACTCCACATTGCTGTCACTACATTTTTAAAAATCCAGGTGCATGAGAGCTAAGGTGCCTCTCTTAGTTGGTTTTGCTTGCAATAGACCAACAAGGAAATGAGCAGAGCTCCCTGTTTACTGTATATCTATTATCTGCATTTAGTCTCAAATAATCTTTTAAGATATACAATATGCAAAAAACTATACACTGTTTAAATGTTTTCCAGCATGTTTGCAGAGGTAGTGTATATAAATGAGTAATACAAAATGACTGTCAACATCACAGCTCTTAAAAGATGCTATCAAGGCATATTCAACTTCAGGGGCATTAATTCTCATAAAAGACTGAGAACGAAATTCCATAACATGAAAAAGGGAAACGTGATCTTTGGATCGTGTTGTTTGGCCTCCTTTCTCTCACTGTTCTCAAGAGCACAAATGTTCCAAGGATTCCACTACATTAATATTTTCAGATAAGCTTTGAGCAAAGTAACTGCTGCTGTCAGCATTTATTCAGGGAACTGAGCAAGAATGGAGGAGCAATCATGCTTACGGGAAAAGGCTCACGCCAGCTGGCACCCACAATAGATGGTCTAATGATAGCGACGTTTAAATTCCCTTTCTCTTGCTGAATAAGGTACTCTGTCAAGGCTTTGGTGAATGTATAGGTGTTGGGCCAATCCCCGATGAGTTTGGGGGTGATCTCTTCGAGAAGGGACTCATCCATCCACCTAAGAGGATACATTGGAACATATTTATAAAAACAGAAGAGAGAAAATGTATACATTTGTGTCTGTGTTGGGGGAGAATCAAACCAGCAACACGGTCGTCAAAATTAAATAAACTGCCAGAGTCTTACTAGTTAGCTATGCTAGTGTTAAGTGTAGGGGTGTAAACTGCAATGATGATTGTCACTGTTTAAAGAGTTGCCACTTCATTCCTCATGGCACTCATGCAACTGGTGCACCAAGAGTGATGTACAAGCAGCAACTTAGCAGTACTTTGCCACGCAGTTTACTCCACTGCACTTACAGCAGCATACCGACCTTATAGTATTCTGGCCATAACATTTCAGCATGCTCCCCTGAAAATGAAGATACCTTTTAAAATTTTCAGCATGATAATTTTTTAAACAAACTGTCTGGTAATACAGAGAAAGAAATGTTCAAATGCAAAGAAGGGCAGCAAACCTACTTTACCTCCAATAATGAATGCAGAACAGCATGTTTTAATAGATGTACCTTCTCTCACCCTTTTCATACAAAGGCCAAATACTAAAATACTCTTCCATATAATATTAAAATATTTAAGTTTTGTTCCTTAATGTGTCTAGTCAACCATAACTGTTATTTTAACATTGTATTTCATAATGGATCATTATTTTTAAGGGCTTCAGGTGTTACTCTGGAATACTAAATCTGGGAATACTCATTTGTTACTTTGTTGATTTCTAAAACCAGCTATTTAGTATGACACATTATCGAAAGTGTTAAGCCATGAACAGCTCCTCTATGGATTTCATAGCCCTATGTTCAGTCTTTTTTCCCTGTGGCACATCTGTCCCAGTTCCTGAGCACCCCATGGAGCCGTGGTGCACCGTTTGGGAACCCCTGATCTACGGACTAATATCCTGAAAAAAAAATATTATAAGCTTGCACTGGCAACAGCACAAACATGTAGCACATTTTAAAAAAAAACATGAGAGGCATCACATGATACTTATATTTTGTGCATCACTATGCAAGTTTTCCTCTGGATTATCTGCAAAGACCCCTTGTCCATTTGATTAAAATAAGGAATCTGTGGTGCATAGTACTGGCTCTGAGTGCTGACTGAAGCTCGGGAATTATGTACTTCTGTCAACGATGTCTTACTCTTGGTGGTTCAGAGTTATAAACAAGGACAATTTATCAGGATACTGGAGCGTGTGTATATACTGTATGTAACAGTGTATATGCCTGGGCTTTTCCCACTCACACTGTTCTCAACAGAGCAGTATAACAATGGATCCAGTTACCTCAGGAAGTGGTGAGTACTCCAGCACTGGAGGCATTGAAGAGAAATTTACAAAACCACCTGACAGATCTGCTTTCATTTGTATTGAGCAGGGGGTTGGACTTGATGGCCTTGTAGAGCCCTTGCAACTCAGTTGTTCTATGATTCTATGAGATTTAGTGACTCGGAGAAGTGCATACATATACCATGTAATGAACTGAAGGATCCTGGGAATTGTAGTCATATGAAGACGGAGTCTGTTAAGTTCTGTGTCAGATGAGTAAAAAGCAATGGAATGTGTGAGACTGTTTTTGCAGAGTTACTTGCCTGGTACAGAGATAAGAAGGCAAGGCCGAAGGGGACTGGAAGAAAAGAAGACCAAACAAGAATACCGCTTAATTGGAAGCGAGATAAGACACCTGTGGATCTCATGTGAAATATGGGTGGAGAGTTGTGTTAAGCTTTCTTGCAATTAATTGGTTGATAGATAGACAGGGTCAGGAAGAAGGAGGTCCTAGACATGTAGAAAAATGATTGTGTATGTGAAATGTTGGTTCGTGGCATGTTGAGGAACGTTTGCAGAATGTAAGAGAAAAAAGGTTTGCCTTTTGAAAAGAGAAGAGGGAGTGAATACAAAAAGGTTTGCCTTTTGAAAAGAGGAGAACGGGGAGTGAATAGCCCAGCTTAGAAGTCAGAATGATTACTTGGCTTAGATTTTAGTTGTATATATCAGGTGCATTTTTTTCACTTTGTGAAAGTGCAGTGAGGGACATCTTGACATACCATTAGCTAAACAATAGTTATTTCCCAGAGGCAAATTGTATACCAGCTGGAACACTTTTCCGATGAGAAAGCAGGACAATTAATTGCTCTATTGCGCTTATTTTTTTGGGAGGGTTCCTCTTGCGGTGTTTTCATAAGCCAACACATAGTGATGTAATTTCTGTTGCTGATTTGTCATGTTGTGTTTTCTATCATATAAAAGCAGGGCATGCATCTGTTCCTACATATTTTTGTGAGTAACCTTCAGTTTCTTTAAACCTTTCATTCATTATATACTGTGGAGGAAAAGGCAGGAACAAGCTTGATCTCTCTAAGCTTTGCCTACCTGGATTTTCTGTGCAGCAGCAGGCAAGATCTAGGGAACAACAGAGAGGCCTTCTATTCCCTGAACAAGGTAGCTCATTATGCAGTCTAGTTTTAAGTATGTGTAGAAGATCTGAGATAGAGATACTGATGCTATATTCTGAACTGTTAAATCTTCCTTCTTAGGCAAGCTGAGACAGTCTCGGAAGTTGACCTGGACCCTCCAAGGCTTTTGGTTGGGATTCAATATGCATGTTACAGTCACCTTGTCTGGAATACCTTGGGTTGTCATGGCTTCCACAGCACATTAAGTTTTACTGAGTAGGACACTCAGGATTTTGGGTTTTTTTGTTTGTTTGTGTGTCAGATGGAATGACAGTGGTCTGGAGATGAAGGAACATTGTCACGAACAGATTACTACCTGGTAGGTTTCAAACTTACTGGGACTTGAAGACCCTGTAATGATAAGGAATGAGTAGGATGATCTAACTAGAAGACTGATTAATGCATGTATTTTCTTGACAGAACCTGGGAATATTCCTCCTGCCTTGTTAGAGATCCCTGTTGAAGCCACAGTGGCCCTCTGGAACAGGGAGTGATCCCAATGGCTGATACAATGAGTCCCATGTGTGCTCTTCCATTGAACAGTGTAAATTTTTAAAAAAATCCTTGGTCTTCAGAGCAACTGAATTTGATGAAATGCATACAAAGACTGCTAGACTCACTCTCTGATAGAAAACACAGAGCAAATCCAATTCAATATAGCCAGGAACGACATGTCTGCAGATACATTGCTTGACACATGGATCCCATTTTAAGGCAATTCATAGAATCACAAAATCATGGAATAGTGAAGTTGGAAGGGGATGCAAGGCCATCAAATCCAACCCCCTGCTCGATGCAGGAATACAAATCAAAGGATCTCTGCTAGGTGGTTGTCTAAATTTCTCTTGAATGCCTCCAGGGTTGGAGTACTCACTACCTTTTGAGGTACTTGTAATTGGTTCCATCATCTTACTGCTCTAACAGTTAGGACGTTTTCCTCATTCCTCGTATTCAACTGAAATCTGGCTTCCTGTAAGTTGAGTCCATTGTTGCATGTCCTGTACTCTGGGATGATTAAGAACATATCCCACCCCTCCTCTGTATGACAGTTTTTCAAGTATTTGAAAAGTGTTATTATATCTCCCCTCTGTCTTCTTTATTTAAGGCTAAATATGCCTGATTCTTTCAGTCTTTCCTCCTAGAGCTTGGTTTCCAGCCCCATGACCATCTTTGTCGCCCTCCTCTGACCTTGTTCCAATTTGTTAGCATCCTTCTTGAAGTGTGGTGTCCAGAACTGGACACAATCCTCAAGTTGAAGCCTAACCAGTGCTGAATAGAGGGGGGGCTAACACCTCGCGGAATTTAGAAACTATACTTCTATTAATGCAGTCTAAAACAGCACTTGCCTTTTTTGTAGACACATCACACTGTTGGCTCATATTCATCTTGTGATCTATGACAATTCCAAGATCCTTCTCACTTGTAGTTTAATTCCTTCCATTAAAGTAGGATATGTAGTTCTTATTGCTGGCTGGTCAGTGCTGAAAGCCTTCCAGGTTACTAACAGTACTGGTGTTGAAGCAGCAGCTGGGAGTCTTCACTGGCATGCCATGTGGCAAAAGCATAATTGCTCCCTTCCACTGGTCAGAACTAGACATGGGATACTCGTATTTGTATCCTTGACAAATATGAATATTGTCAGCACAGGTGCCTGGGATGTCCAGTTCCTCCTCTCTGAAACCAGCAGGTCCAATTACTGATCGCCACGTGGCGTGTGCAGCCAGTGTCATTATCGTCTTGCCAATCACAGAAGTAGTTCAGCCACCACTTCCTTACCTCCCTGAGCAGCCAACCACTAAACAGCTGAGCAAGGAGACTCATCATCCTGCTTCCTCACCAGAATGGTCAACTGCATGGGGAGGCAGGGAAGTGCTGGCCACGCTACTTCTGTGATTGGTGCGATGAAAACTACGCCAGTCGTGTGTTCTGCATGGCAACTCATAATTGGAGTTGCCAGCTGGGGGGGGGGGAATAGACCTCCCAGGAATACAAATGCAATATTTGTATTTGTATTCCCAGGGATACGAATACAAATGCCCCATGTCTAGTAAGAACGATGGCCTATGCTGAGGTAGCTTGGAAGCCTCCCAGCACTAGCAGGCCAGAATGGAAGCACTAATATGGTTTTTAACTGTGCATTGGTGCCATTTTAAAACCGCAGTAGGGTTTGTGTCATGCCTAGGAACAGTAGTTGGGGCCAATTCCATTCATTCTGTGCCCCTCCCAGCCTGTGGTTATGGCCATAGTGGTTATGGCCATAGTGTAAACCAGTGGTTCCCAACACTGGGTATCTCAGGTGTTCTGGGATAGCAACTCTCAGAAATGCTTGCCAGTATTTTCTTCACTTCACCATCACTTCATTTACATGATTGCTCAAATGAAATTTCTTGGGTAGTCAAAAGCCTATCACATTCTGACCTATAAACAAAAAATGGATATTACTGAATAGAATTATATGACACGTTGAAGATTATATTACTTGCCAACAAGGATTGGTCACAACTGGTTATCACCTCTGGTCCTGTCAGAAGCAATCTAAGGGTGAAGGATAAGCCAACCATTTACATGATTGCTCAAATGAAATTTCTTGGGTAGTCAAAAGCCTATCACATTCTGACCTATAAACAAAAAATGGATATTACTGAATAGAATTATATGACACGTTGAAGATTATATTACTTGCCAACAAGGATTGGTCACAACTGGTTATCACCTCTGGTCCTGTCAGAAGCAATCTAAGGGTGAAGGATAAGCCAACAGGGAGGTGGCATTGCCCAGGGGATGCCCAAATGTGTTCACTGTCCTTATGTTTTTGGGGAGGCTACTTCCCTGTTCTTTGTCATAGTTGGTACAGGTCTGTTTGATTTAACTTCGCTCTTTCCTTGTCTAGCTGTAATGGCTGGTCAGCTGGACAGCTCAAGGATGTAGGTCAAGTGCTTTGGAAGATGATTCATACCACATATGTTTAGAATATGATTTAGACATATTTCAGTGTGACTTCAGGCCTGGTTATGAGACATCACCTGAAATCCTGTTGCTTTAGCATAGTAAGTCAAAGGTGCAGTGAAGATGACTCACCAAATCCCCAGTGATTCAGTGGACCTACTCTAGTGGACCTTACTACACTAAAGAACAGGATTTTGGCCACTGACTAATTTGGCAGCAGCTGCAGATGATCTGCTCTGAACCAACCACGGGTAGTGTGTCCCTGTTGGTTCTCCTAGCCATTTTGGCACCTTTAATGACATGAACAAAAGGTTATTCTTCCAAACTGCCTGGCTGGGATAATATCTAACAGAACCATTCCATGATGGTTCATACTCTCCTTAGAAGGGTAATTTCATATGAAGATGCTCTGGCCTTTAACCTCTGATGTCTCTCAGGATTCCATCTTGAATTAAACATACAACCCCAAGAATCAGCA